GATAAAATTTTTTATGTCTTGCAATTACCGTTGTAACCTTAGATTATGAATCATCAGGTTGATCAATATTGAACTTAAAAAAAGAAAAATGCACTTTATGAACATTTCAGTGGCGTAGCAGCAGAGGAAGCACGTAATTTTTTAGAAAACCGCCATATTGACTTCACCAGTGGAATGTCCATTTTGGAATGGTTAATTTGCATACCCGACAAATTCTGCGAACTAGATAATGTAATAGAATTTTCAAATAATCTGTGTAAGTTTCAAATGTGTCCTAGTCAACTTTAATGCCACGCTTTATACTTATTGAACTTGTTGATTTTTCTTTTCTATTATTTCCTACTTCGAATGATTTTTATTACTTTTGGGTTGGAAATTTTGTTGTTATTTTTAAAATTTAAGAAATGGCAATCATAATAATTGTAAATTAGAGTTTTCTATCAGGGTGTAAAATGAATTTTCGTAAAACATTAATTTCTTTAATGTATTTTAGATACTTGGCAGAGTTTTACAAATCACAAGACAGATATAATTTCTAGGCGTTCATCAATACTGATAATTATCACTTCGATGGAAAAAGGTAATCTTTCACTATCATTTATGTTAGTTTCTGATCATTTTAATTACTTTATAATTTCCTGCATTTAAAATACTTTTGTGTGATCATAGTAATATTTTCCTTGATTAAATAAACGTACATAATTGGTTAAGAATTATCACCTCCGCGATTGCAAGGTTTGAATGGGGCAGTTATTTCTCTGGGAAATCCTGTACTTGTTATATCTACATGTAAATAATCAGTCATTATTTTTAGTAGATTTGTGTATGGATGTTAAACACATAATTTTATGATTGCACAAATGTTTGTAGACAAAATAGTATCGCAGAAGCCAAATTTAGGACAAGATAATATAAACCACAGTTTTTTTAATTAGTTAAGAGCATTTCCTAGTCAAATATAGCGTATACTTTATAAGCCTAATGAAACACGATACTAGCTATCAAATTTTGAACTTATATTTCACTCTAAATATGCTTCTTTGTTCTTTTAATAATCTTATATTCGTTTGCTCCTTATTTTTTTAAGGTTCCACGTAAACCTTGTACTAATTTCTATTACGATTCGTAGGTCGTGATGTGACTATAATTGATAATGGAATTGGTGAATGCGCATACGACGTCAGGTTGTTGAATTACTGAGTTGCTAGTAGTTGGTGGCATCTACATATATCAATGAGTTCAGCTCTGGTAAGTCCATTTCATTATACTTCTCTAGGAGTTCATTAAGAATTATTGGGCAGAGCTGAGCACATACATATATACGTAAATATATACGTAAATTTATATATTGTATTTTCTATGTATGTTCTATTCGAGTATCTTAAAAGTCTCCTTACATTCGTTATATCTTGTTTTACCAGTTTTTCTATAGATCTGATGGAATAATTTATTGCGAATGCAATGTCAGGACCAGTTTTAGTTGCTGACAATAGGTACTGTAAGCCACCCATTAGTTCTCCATAAGGAAGTTTATCCGTAGAATTAGTACAGTACAGAATCCTACCGTACGCTGTTATATCAACTAAATCGAGGACAAATCTTATAGCACTGCTGCATCTGTCACATAAGTGCTACCGACCTGTCCTCTTCAAACAAAATGTTTCGCTCTAAGATTGCGCCAAGTTCGCCATTAATTTGGCAGTGCAATGCGTCTGCTTCCAAATACCGAGCCATCTGTGTCCGTATTACGCCAGGCATTTTGTCTTAGCGAAATACATATTAAATGCGAACCAAAAGCAGTGGTTTTGCACCAAATTGATATAAATTTTCACGCAAAGTACACAAGCAAGCGTTTTACATGCATTTGGTTGAACCAGACTTGTCTGACAGGGTATAACAGACATTTAATTTTTTGTTCCTTTTTTCCTCGTAACGTTGTATGAAGTATTGTTACTTTTGATAGAGCTTTTATTTATTGCATTTAGTCAGGTAATTTTTCAAGAATTATTATAGTAAGTAAACAAGTTAAAGTTTTAATGTTGTTAACAAGTTCTCGAATGGAACACAGAGACTGTTTATTGAAGGGGTAATCACTAACATCACATATGTAAGTAGGTGTCGTATAATGAGATAATCTCGTCGAAGCATCTGCTAAGTTTTGATTTTTGAGCTTTATTTAAAGTTGGTGCAATTTCTGTTACGCTTAGATTTTTGAGGTATATTTACGAGTTATTACGAGTTATATATAATTTACGAGTTATTAAAAATGTTTTCGAAAAAATATCGCTGTTGCGCACGGCACAAACTAACCGCCGGAAGTCGTGAGGAGACGACACGATTTATTTGGTTTGGACTCCACAGTCCTCGGTTTACAATTCTTGGAGCACGACTCCGTTCGACGTATCAAGTGTAGCACGGCTACGAATTTGTTGCAAAGTGAAGCACGGATTCACTTAGACTATAAAATGGAAGCACGGCTTCGTATGGGCGCAAGGGCGCAGAATAATACTTGTCTATATGCAATAACGTTGTCTACCAAGATCGGCCGTTATCAAATTTGCGGCAGTATATATAGACACCTGGCCGATGTTCAAGGAGAAGCATCGTCAGGCGTCGAAGGCCGGTCATTGCCTCCTAATGCAAAAACACCGCGTATATATTTCGGCCGAGGCGAGCGTTTGACGGTCGGGCCAACGCACGTCGATCGTGTTATTGTCTTGCCGCCTCGCCGTTTATTCGACAAAAACGGCGAGACGGCGTACATCGAAAGTCGAACGTGCGTTGACCCGCGGTCCGCGATTCGGCCGGAACAATCGCGTTAACATAGAATGAAGAAAAGACGCTGTAAGTAAGGTTATAACTGTTGGAGTTTCGATAAAGTAAACAGCTAAAGCTTTTAGTATGACTTAATCGCATAGAGCCCAGTTAGTGAAAATCGTTGAAAATCGTGATAAACCAATTGTATATGAATTAAACATTGATAACAAAAAAGCACCTAGTGTTCATCAAAAAGATTGTTTTTCGAATCAGTTGGAATTTACTACAAGAATGTGTTATTGCAAAGATGGAAAGATGATTTATGCTATTTAAGAGTACTCTACAATATTATATGTACTTGAAATGAATGCAAATGAATTACATTATTTTGATACACTGTCCCATTCATGGATACACCCTGTGTTTCTGATTTCTCAACATTCATCATTTTTCGAGAAATGAGAAATAAGACTATATTTATCGACATTTATCGGATTCTGGAGCATTCTCGAGTATTACTGTCCAATATACATATAAATAACATCAAATATACATATAAATAAGTTTAAAAGCAAGGATAAGATAACCTCTAAAATTAAACATTACGCTTCTGTTCTGAATTGACCTCTTAAAATGTATAATGCGTCTAATGTAGAATCAGAAAATCTGCCTCTTTTTTTGTAACAAAACCTGTCGCCATAGAAAAATTTCTTCCATTTTGTGTGATTGTTGGATGTCCTTTTTTTCAGTGGACTTATAAATTTGCAATTCCTTGGTTAGACTCCGTAATGTATTTTCTTCTCACACAAAGCTCTTGACACTAAATTTTTGAAGACTATCTGCAATTTCTAATGACATAAGATTTCTATCGAGATCCATCCACCTAAGTTATTGCAAACCAAACTCACGTGTAACAACGTGTTCGATGAGTACTCAAAGTCAATTTTCTCGCTAACGAAGCCCTAAATGAAAAATTGTATTCCTTATTTTCGATTCATTTTTTCATGTACAATCACCTCCATCTCTGCTGTACCACCAGTGGTGGGACAAATTGTATAATTTTTGTTTTAATTATTTGAATTTAATAATTACATTAACGCACAAACGTCACCTGAAAACGAGATCATATATTTGTATGGTTGTTCTCGAATTAGAAAAATTAGTTCCTAAAAAGAAATCATTCTTATTAAGACCTAAATTCTGTTTGTATGATAAACACTTTTGAACATTAACAATCACATATCTGT